CCCTGGTAGCACAATTGATGTGCTGAGGAAATTTAGGGAGAACTTCTTTTAAATCTGCATGGTTAATCTCAGCAGCAATAATATGGGCTGCTTCTAGATAGGTGTTCTGTTGGGAATTTGTAGCACTCAGTAGGTAGCCTAAGGTAGCTAGCATTAGCATCCGGTGGAATGTAAACAGCTGTGACTATAACAATGGTAAACTCATGTGGAAGGTAAACAGGCCTGCATTTAACTGTCAGGTACTCCAGACCAAAAGAACAGCGCTTGTCTATGATTTCGGTATTAGTGCACCGGTTGTTATGTATGGAAATGGCCACCCCCAGCTCCAACTCCATCATCAAGTTTGCTGATGACACAGTAGTGCTGGGTCTCATCTCCAGCGACGACAAGACAAGGTGGAGTGTGGATAACCTGACATTGTGGTGCCAGGAGAACTGCCTCCAACTCAACGTCAGCAGGACCAAGACGCTGGTGGTGGACTTCAGGAGGAGTAAGGAGCGCCCCAACTCCCCCCTCTACATCAACGGGACTGCAGTGGAGAGAGTGGGCAGCTTCAAATATCTAGGCGTGTGCATCACTGAGGACCTGACATGGACAGAACACACCCAAGCTCAGTCTAGCAAGGCGAGACAGCGTCTTTACCACCTAAGACAGCTGAAGAAGTTCTGGGTTTCTTCAGCAATTCTTAGGACTTTTTACTCTGGCGCTGTCCTGGAAAATGTCCTGAGCGAGAACATCACATCCTGGTACGGAAACGGCTGTATACAGGACATGAAGAGACCACAGAGAGTGATTCGGGCAGCAGAGCGCTGCACCAGATCTTCTCTACTGTCTCTGCGGGACATTTATACCAGGAGATGCTGGAGCAGAGCAACCAGGATCATCAGAGACTCATCTCATCCCAGCAACTGTCTGCTTGAGCTGCTGAAATCAGGCAGCTGCTTTAGGAGAATTAAAGCAAAAACAGAGAGACTCAGGAGAAGCTTCTATCCCCACGCCATAAGACTTCTGAATCAGGACTCGCCACCACTACATCCTTAATGTACATCCCTGATATACATAACTCACGTCATCTTCTCTTCCTAATTAACCTGCTGTTTTCAATAATCCATAAACTACATTTCCATCCACCCTTGCTGCTTACATTTATATTTCTACTTATGTCACCTGCAACAAGGCACGCTGCACCTTAAATACAACAAAGTGCTGCACCTTAAATACAACAAAGTGCTGCACCTTAAATACAACAAGGTGCTGTACCTTAAATACAACAAGGTGTGCTGCACCTTAAATACAACAAGGTGTGCTGCACCTTAAATACAACAAGGCGCTGCACCTTAAATACAACAAGGCGCGCTGCACCTTAAATACAACAAGGCGCGCTGCACTTTAAATACAAAACTCTAGCATCACATGCACATGTACAGTTTTTAACCTTGATTATTTTCTATATTAGAACAACTTCTGTATTTCTGTATCTTATTCTGTACTGCACTGCATATTATTCTGTACATCTCTATATTATGTATATATTTTACTTAGTTATTGTAACTTTGGTTATTGTAACTTTTGCCTCACTCTAATTCTATTTTTGTCTTTCACAGTCTAAGGGTCGTTCAGGGTACATTTCACTACATGTTGTACTTGTTCAACCATGCATGTGATGAATAAAGTATCTTGTATCTCACTTGTATGTGTGTGTGAGCAAGACCATTGGAATTCGGTCTGATTCAGCTCCTCGGAGGCACTACTGAGGAGGCGCCCCCGGCGATAAACTTGCTGATTGCTTGACCACAACATCGAAGTTATGCGGAAGTGCAGAAAAAAGAGAGTAGAATGAATTGTTTTTTTTAGCACAATAAGACTGAACACCCTTTGCCTGCGTCTTCAGCTGGTGCCGGTGTTCTGACAAGTTGAGCTGCTTTGTCGTCATCTGAAGGTGTGGTACCTTCTGATTGGAAGCACGCCCATTTTCAAAAAAGGGGATAGAAGTAATTTGTCAAACTATAGGCCAATCAGTCTAACTT